CTAACAGAGGAACAGGAATTACCTATGCATAATACCTGAAACATTAGTCATTAAGCATATTGCCTAATAGGGCCAGGGCCGATAATTTTTGAGAACAAAAAAATTTAGTAGAGGATGATACCCATTGGAAAAGGAAGAAAATATAACAAAAATAAAAGGAAAAATAATTTACGGGCAATCTGAATTCGGGCAGTGGGAGAGGGTGAGCTTTTAAGGGTAGAAAACGGTTTATCACGATTTCCGGCAAAACTACAAGTCCTATCGAAAAAAGTTAAATGGCAAAGTTCTAGGTAATAAAAGGATCTACAATTTTTGTATTTAGACTTTTTTTACATAACCTCAAAATTTATGCGGAAAATGCAAATAACCGAGTTTTTGGTTTTTTATTTTTATCTCCCACAAAAAAGTTTTTTTTTTACGAAATTTGGTGAAAACTTACCTATTTATGTTCCAAACTCACTGTAATTTTTTTTATTCAAAATATTTATTTTCCTCCTTTATGATTTAATATCGAAAAACCACCCTAATTTTCAAAGGAAAATTCTCACGTCAAAATGTTTGCTTTTTTAAAAAAATCGGTGTGCTTTTTGTTCGTTCAAATCTCTACTTTCTGATGGTGTAAAAAAAAGTATAGATTACTATGGCAAATTTTCACAGGAAATCCAAAAAAGGAAAAAATCGAATTCGAATTTTTTTTAATCATGTAAAATTTTGAGCTATGTATTAAAATTTACACTTTAATTATTCGAAAAAAGTAAGATTCCATGTTACACTTATAAACTCAAAAATTTAAAATCCATGAAACAAACGCCTTCTGTTGGTAGGAGATTTGTCAATATGAAAGATGATTTAATTCTTGCCAATTGATTTTCGAAATCTTAATTGATTCAGTGTTATATTGTCAGTTTTACATTTATAAATATATTTGATTATTTGTAATCCATTTTTTACGATATCTTCTTTGACTGCATGTTTTTTATAAAAAATATGGACCTATTGATATTGATATTTTTATCGTCTAACTAGCAGACCCAGCAAACATTGTTTTGCCATATAAATTTTTTCTAGTGAATATTTTAATAGTTAAATAAAAAATTAAATCAAAATAAAATAGACGGAGCGAAGCGACGTCTCCAATTTATCTGAGACCAGTAAACCCCCTTAACGTTCGTGATTCTTATACTATTTTTTGTACGACCATCAAAAGATTTGCATCTTTTTATCAAATTCATAAGTTGAAAAAATTTATATCAAACATCAACAAGGTCGTTTTTTAATTTAAAATTTGTTACTATGGTTTCGATTAGTATAAACAACAATTTTAAAAATCAGTTTCCATTTTGACCGCTGTCGATTTAGATTTGATCTGGCTTGACTTCGAGTTCATTTTCTTTCCGCGACTATTAGTGAGTGATTTATAAGGAGATGCAGTTTTAGGCCAGGCGCCTCCCACCACTTTCCGTCAGCAGCGTCCGCTGTTAAACTACTGATATGTATGTTAAATCTTGCATGTCGCCGCGCGACACTGGAGAGGCAATGATAATGAGGAGTGGGAGTTATAACCGTGTCCTTGAACTATTTTTGCATCTCTCTAGTGATTTATTTGCTTAAAATATCAGTCATGAGTGATTCCGAAAGCGAAAATGTTGAAGTCGAACACGCATGGAATTTAAAATAAAAAAAATCTTGAATGCATGACCGTTCAGCTGAACAGTAAGTAATTACTTACCGTTCGCCTCTTAGTTGTTAGTCGTAGCAACCCGTAAACTGAACTTACTGCTATGGAAACCTATACGGTAAATGATCGAAAAAGCGATGGTCGTACAAAAATAAATTATAATTAAATTAAATTATAAATTATACATAAAAATTTATCGTACGACAATGATTATATTCAACAGCCATCTTGAACCCTATTGTGATGTATCTGTCGATGAAAGTAAAGATACGAATATCGTTACTACAAAATGGGGGTTGGTGGTAGAAGGGTGAAAATTTAGGGTTGTATGTATTTTTTGAAACCAAGTCTTAAAAAAATAAAAATAACAAATTTTGTCCGAAAAATAAAAAAAAAAATTGTGTGGGCCACCTTTATCACCTAGGAGTATAAAAAAATAGTTTACGACCTATTCTCAGACCTACCGAATATAGGCAGAAAATTTCATTAAAATCAGTCAAACCGTTTCGGACACACTGTGACACGGGAATTTTATATATTAGAAGGCAATGAATTTCCTTTTCCGGCAAACCCAGATGTTGTATCGCAACCAGAAAAACAATACAGAAATGCAACGATATTTTTGAAAGATTCATATTTGAAACTATTATTGGACGTGAAAAATAGATCTTTTACATTTCCAGAACCTGGTTTGAGAAAATAAATGTCATAATTATTTGAATTCATTTGATTCAAAAGGACCAAAATATCTTGACCCACAACTATGACAGTTTTATTGGTATCTCTGTCAGTTTCTATCGAGATCTTAATTATGTCAGCATAAGCAGTTTCTTTTAAATAAGTCGATTCGTCACGATTCTCTTCAAGTAACTCAGCCTGCACGTATATTTTTATAGACGATGTTGTTAATTCTTCTGATGGGCTAAAATTTTCCGTAGGCCATTCAGGTATGTAAGTTATCTTAAAATAGCAATAAATAGGTACCTATGCATATAATTTAAAAATTATCCTACAACTTTAACAAAATATTGTAGATGTCTTATAAAGTATTAGGTAAGTGTATTAACTTATTTGGTTGTTAATTATAGTAGTATATTTCGATTTGCATTTTTTTAATTTATCAATGTAACTTGTAATATTACGTTTTTCGAGTAATTAACGTGTAGATTTTAATAAATAGCTCCAAATTTTACATAATAATTAAAAAACAAATTTTTGAATTCGAGTTTTTTCGTTTTTTTGCATTTCCTGTGAAAATTTGCTATAGTAATGTATAATTTTTTTACACCTTCAGAAAGTAGAGATTTCAGCGAACAAAAAACACACCGATTTTTTTAAAAAAGCAAATATTTTGACGTGAGAATTTTCGATTGAAAATTAGGGTGGTTTTTCGATATTAAATCAAAATAAGGGAAAAAATAAATATTTTGAATCAAAAAAATTACAGTGAGTTTGGGACATAAATAGGTAAGTTTTCACCAAATTTCGTTAAAAAAAAAATTTTTTGGACCTCAGATCGCCCGTAAATTATTTTTCCCTTTATTTTTGTTATACATATTTTCTTCCTTTTCCAATGGGTATAATCCTGCTCTAATTTTTTTTCACTTTTTACCATTTTCAAAGGCTTCGGCACTGGCCTATAACATGTCCAGCTGATTTAAAAAAATCGGGACAAGATGAGCAATTCAGGTTCTCATAGATCAATGAAAAGCAATGGGAATATGATGTTTATATAACTGTAATTTGTTCCTTTTTTTAAATCAATTGTACATGTGATATGTAGAGGAAAGCGAGGGAGGGTGGGTAGCTTTTTGGAAAATATTATGCAAAATTCCTGTTCCTCTGTTCGTTATTATCAATATTACCTAAACGTTTCCGTTATTATGCATAATAACTGAAAATTTCAGTTATTACGCATAATTCCTAATGTTTCCGGTTATTATGCAAAATAACTGATAAGTTTAGTTATTACGCATAATTCCTAAAATGTCTAGTTATTATGCATAATAACGGATTTCGGATATTAGCTGTAACATATACATATTAAAATTTCATAGTAAATTGAATTATTTCTCAAATTCTGATAATTCAAAATTTTGTCTTGGTATTTTGCTTGTAATATAACCAGACACTACTGATTCTAACAATGTAACTTTCACTGTACTAGTATTTTTAAATTTCTAATTCTTCAATTTTTCAGATTTAAGTTTGTTGAGTTTTTCGAATAATCAAAAAAATTGAATCGCATCGGACAATCGAAAATTCGAAATTTTGAATAAACCAAAAATCCCTTAAAAATAGTAAAATATATTTAAAGCATTCATCAACGGAGTAAAATATCCTCTCATCAGTAATAGCAAGTTTAACTCAAGTGTTTAAGATTATACATCAAAAGAATGTCAAGTAGAAAAATTAATTCGATTGGAATGTTGACATTATGATACTTGGTATTGATTTGAATGAGTTTGTTTCGAAACACGAGGACTAAAATAAAAAATTAGTGATGACGTCATCAACATAGGCAATACAGCACAAAGGAAAAAAAAAGACACAGCCAAGTTTGACATCGAACGTGCGACTGCGGATGCATGCCAACGCCTTAATTTTTTTGGGAAAATTTGGACGTTTAAGGGAAAAATTCAAACGGATTCATACACCACAGTTATAGAAGTATCTGTTACACAACGTTTAAATCATTTTTAAATGAAATTCTTTGAAACGACGGCATCAAATTTTTGGTGGGGATGATCAGCTAAATTTTGGTTTTAGTGTTTTACCATCTACAGCGTGTTATTGAAAGGTACGTACAAAATAAAATCGGCAATTGGTCTCGAAGTATGGGGACTAAGAGTAAAAAAAAGTTCAGGGAAAAGTGTTCTCCTTCTAGAGATAAAAATTATTAAAATTTATGTCCAAATTCGTAGTACGCCTCTGATAAAAAGATCATCTTTTGTTTCTATAGCAACATTTAGTCTTGACAAAAGTTTTATTGTTACAGTTGCTAGGATTTACTAAAATAAATTAATTTTACCTATTTATCCTTCAGTAGCGTCTAAAAAGGTTGGATAAGGGTTAATTTTCCCTTTATAATTTTGATAACACAAAATAAGTTTTTCAAATTTCTTAGACTTCGCGAATAACTGTCAATTTTGTTGTACGTACCTTTTAATAACACCCTGTATATGATATTCAAAATACACATCCAAAATTTGGCAACAACCGGTCCACAAATTTAACAAAATAAACAAATGCAACAGATTTTTGGTTTTTGTTGATAACATTATCTCTACCATCTCTTGGTGTCATATATTTATTACAGTTTAACAAAATTGTACTTCAAAAAACTGCCAAAATTTTACTTAGGAATAGTACAGGGTGACTCATAGTAAAAAATTATTTAATGGTGTGTTTTAGTTTGAAAAAACTTTTGATTGTACCATACACATTTGGGATAGAATATTAAATTCTCTTGTTGAAATGTTGTAGCATACCTGAAGTACCTAGTATATTTTATATTATTATAGTAAACGGTGCTAAACTAAAAAATATGTCGTGACTGAAATTAATAGTAATATGCGAAAAATCTAACCGGAAAGACCACACAAAACACTAAAAAGTACAGCCACATTAAAGTGGATATTCGTTGTACCACTAAAGTTCGAAAATATATTGAAATAATAAGAACATTTGAAAAAAGATATGTTTTACCTAGACGAAATAAATGTTTTCACTAATTTAAATTTCGTGTGCTATAAGTGCGATATTAACTTACCATTTAAAAATCCTTGTGTAATTCTGCATCGCTTCGTCACGTTTGCTGTGTTCTTTGGTTACAAATTTGAAAAAGTTCGCTTATTTGTAAATATTTAAAAAGAAAAAATGAGAATCTACACGATATACATACTTTTTGAGAGAAGAGAGAGACAAATTTTAATTCAAATTTATTTTAATTTTTAATTTAAACAAAAAGAATGGAAAAGTTATCAATGACATAAATTTGCAGTAACAAATAAACTAATTATTAGAATTGTGTTTTCTCCTTTCTTCAATTAAGAATAGGCAATGCATGGTACCGTTTGGTGTTAGCGCTTTACTGAATACATTTGTAACAAAATTGACGAGAACAAATGACAATACTACGATTAAGAACAGGAAATAATAATTTAGGTAAATAAACTGTATACTGCGAAACGAAATTTAAAAGTAACTTTGCAGTATGAATTCTTCAAAAACATTTGAATTCGCTAGTTGTACCAAAAGGAATATATAGAGTCCCAGAAACAAATAAAACGAAATATTGAAGGTAAGAAAACAAACAAATATTCTTAATATTTATACTTTGGTTTTAGAATTCTAGCAAAGTTGCGAATATCAATTAGCATTCTTTAAGAAACACTTCTAAATATCAAAAGGATAATAATATGCTGACTTCCTGCGACGTGTAAGTAAAGTCTAAAATTAGTTTTGTTTAATGTTGTTGCGCGTTTTTGGTGCCCAGATTTTTTTAACAATAAATCTACTTTCAGTTACAAACTGAACTATCCGAAACTGACAGAGTGGAACCGATCCTACGGATTTTTGCCTTTCTTTCAATGGAAACTCACAACTCAAAAGGATTTTTTTTTGTTCTGCGAAAATGGACTTCCCAGCGAATTTTCGCAGTTATATTCGAAGAATTGGAAAAGATTACCAAGATAAAAATGACAGTCTTTTCCCTGAAATTTAACCACGACCTCCAAACACAGCCGTCTTCGTGACTTTTTGAAGAAATCATCACAGGTATAAAATAAATTTTTAGATATAGTTATAAGTATAAAATTATTATGTTATTTATGTGAACAATATTTTTTTAAAATGAAGTTTTCAACACTAAATCTATTTTTATAGGAATGGAAGGATCAAAACGCTCCATCAGTCTATACCAGCAGCAAATCAAACAGAATTAAGTCCTGACCAGTCTGGAAAAAGGCCCAAACAAAATGGAACAAAAAAATACTGAGCCTATAATAAAATTTGATTACCATATTCATATTCTTAAAACATATGATATTGTTATAAATTATACAAATAATGTTAAAAATAAATAAATTTATAAATTTTGAATTTTTATGGCATCACACATAAAATATGCATTGGGATGATTGAAATAAACAAAAGTCTAGTAATTCTTCCTTTTGGTTTTATTTTATTAGCAACTTCAGTGCATTTGTGTTTTTCTGCTTAGCTTTATGCAAATTTACTTATCGAAATGTGGCCTTTTGCATCTTACAAAAAATTACAGAAAATTTTGTTATACAAAACTCACTTGAAACATACTCATAGCATGCTTCTTTACGCAAAACTAAAATTTAAAATATGTATATTTAAGAAACTAACTAAAAAATGTTTATTATAAAACTATTTCCTCGATGATCTCCGTATTAAAAAAAGCTTGACATGTAAGGAGTCACGAAGGCACCACTGTCTAAACACTTTAAATTATTTTATGAACGTAAAAACCAAGTTTATATGCAGTAAACAAAGTTAGTTGTTTACATTGGACCTCGTGATGGAAATAACGATTACGTTTATTAACATGAGATATTTTTTTGCGCGTTAACAACGGTTAAATTGCTGTAAATACATTTAAATTCCACGAAATGAACGTCTTTAACACAATGAATGCTTTTAGCTTGAGCTGATACAAATAGGGAAATATGTCTATGAAGTACGGTATTCGCCTACATTGCTAATATAAAATTTAATAAATCCGTATGCCTAGAGTCAAAAATAAAGCAAGCTCATAGGCCAGAATTAGAAAAATGTATTACTTTATGAAATTTAAATAACGTTTATACACATAATTTCTAGGTACCGTCATCACATTACTGGTGAGAATGGTTAGAGGAATTTTTTTTATGTGAAAATAAATTATACTTGTTTAAAGACCACACAGATAAACACTTCGCACTGTTTGAAAAAGTGTATGTATTTGTTTTCTTATCAAAAGCAAACAATAAACCGCTTATATATAATACATAGATGTGCTTCGCCTCCAGTTTTATTGTAAAATTTTTAGTTAAACATCTACCATCCACTGGTGACGGCAACTTCGAAAATGGCGGAAATCGAGGTGAGTGTTTCTCCATATATAATATGTCTATGCTTATACGTATATCCGAAAAATTTGGATAGCTAAAACGGAGTAATTGTCAGTTCAATTCAGTATCGTTGAAAAATAATAAGTTGATCAAGATACTTTTGAAAATATCCGGTAAATTAGTCGTTTCTCTTTAAAATTATTTAAAGCAGTTGGCTTTCATATTAATTTATTAATTTACCAGGTCATTTATAAATTTTCTAGGGTGGGTGAATTTAAAAATAAATATGTTAATGAGAGACTTAAAGAAAAGCAAAAAATAAATCAAACAGAAATTTATTATTAATTATTTTTTTTCACTAGCAGCCTGGACGCATGCAAATGTCGACTCATTTAGTGGTAGCAAATTCAACTTTTGCTACCACCGGTTCAAAAAGAAAAATTGAGGTTATGTACGCAATGTTTGATGTGATTATTTCTTAAAAAATGAACAAATGTGTGCTACAAACATTACTTGAGTATACGCATGGTAGTTGGTAGATGGTACAAGATAAAATGATTAACTCAGCGACAAATATAAACGGTTTTCTTTGTGTTGAAGATTTAGATTAAGTTTGATTAGAAATCAAAACAAAATCATATTGTGTCAAAAAATTGAACGTTTATTTTTTCAATTTATTGTCTTATGGTTTCTACTACTGAAAAAAATAGTATATTAACCACGGTTGCAAAGCCACTTCTAGACCTCGCCCTTAGAGCCCTCGACGCTGCGCGTCTCGGGTTCTAATTTGCGCTCGGTCTAGAATGCTTGGCTCTGCAACCTTGGCTAATAATATACTATTTACCACATAATTACTTTTCAAACCAGTCGCTCGTTTATTTCTTTCCAGACGTTTACAAAAAGACCTGGTACGACTGATAGAGGAAAAGAATACGAGGATACGGTTCTCTCCAGTCTTCTACTAAAACTAATAAACGACCCCACAGTAAAAAATTTTCACGTTTCGTCAAACGAAGAAAAGTTTGGTGCGTTTGACGATATAGTCATTAAAACTGAGTCGAATACGGAACATGAAATACGAGTTAAAGCAGTACAGCTGAAGCACACCAATACAAAAACACTAACCGTACAAAATTTACGATCAAGAAGCGGGCCGTTTAGTATAAGCAAATATTTTGAAAGTTTTCGAGAGATAGAGGCAGATGTACATGAATTTATATTATTTACCAACCGTCCACTTGTGTGTAAAGAGAATGAAAAATTTATCCTTCAAAAGGAGAAATTCCATATCGAACTAATCGAAGCAGAAGATAGCTTAGAGCTTTCCGAGCGTTCAAAAGTCTATCAGTTCCGAATAGCAGAAAACCCATCGACCTTACTAGATTTTCCCATAATTGAAGAATATAAGACATTTTTAAGTAAATTTTATCTTTATACCGACCAACACAATCTTGAAACAATGAAAAATACAACAGCTTACAATTTTAGTAAAACATATAATTCGAATGAGGAAATTTTCGACAAATTCTTCAGATCTATTTCTGAGTGGAGCATTCAAGATGGGAAGAAGGAAAAGCTGAACAAAAATTGGGTGCAACTTGTACTTACTTTACACCTTCTCTCCTCTCAAACAGAGCCTTTATCATTTGGGTCGGTTAGTGACAAAATGAAAATATTTAGAGACAGTATTTCCTTATTCGATATCGCACTATTTGAAAAAGAATCGTGCGACATAGTTAAAACGCTGTGGGGTGATGTTGGAAAAGAAAAAAACATTGACTTTGAGGAATTAAACAAAATAAGAAAGAGATATCTACCTAGTGTCAAAGACATTAATGACGATAATATTAGCGATATAGATCCGAAGATTCTTAGTCATTTGTTATGGTTCATGGACGAATCTCCATTAATATTACGTAAACATGAAAACGTCGAAAAAGGTATCCAACTCTGTCCTGGCAAAAAGTTCATTCTGGTTGGCGAATGCAAATATGAAGAGTGGATGAAAACGTATTCTGTGTTCCAAAATCTATCAAACCTGAATAGCAAACCTGAGCTACGAGACACAATTATGCAAAATTTTACCATATCGATCCAAGGAAAAGAAGAACTTAATCTAGTTACTGCTTTTGGAGATAATGGGGAATTTTTAGAAAATGTTAGGACCGACGATTTAATAGAAATGCTAAACGCTCCATATCCTATTGACGGGGAAAAGGAAACACTTCCTGAACCTTATGTTGAACGTTATCTGTCTCGGAATATTGTAAACTTCACATATTTAGAAAAAGTCCACGAAAACACCATTATTATTATGAATTGGGCGAATAACTTTGACATCGTTAAAGACAAACTCGACAAATGTCAATTAATTGACATTGATAACTTTTTACAGAAAAAAAATCACACTGCCGAAAATCTAACAAATGAAGCTTGTGTGCTTAATTCTGGCCCAAATAGACACACAGCTAATTTTAACCTCAATAAATCGAGCTTTGCTAATAAAGAGTTCGTTGGTCACCGGAAAAAAATTCAATATGATGAGTTTAATAATGAAAATAGAATTTATCTTGATAAATCAAAGTTTGGTTTAACGATCTATGCAGGTAATCGGCACTATAATAATACTGAACTTCAACAAATTTACAACGAACACAACGAAATCAAACAGTTTCACTATTTTCAACTTTTGAGTGACGGAAATTTAGAATGGGTCAAAAGCTTAGGCGATGTTAGTGATGTAGAGGTTTATAAATTGCCTGACAAATATTCTATAGAGGAAAATACGCTGTGGTCTTCTCGGTTAGATAATAGCATCAATCTTATAATTGGCGATCCGGGAATGGGAAAATCGGAGCTAATGAAAAGCTTCAAAAATAAATGTCCACCGAAATTCTGGACAGTTATTTTTAATCCTAAAGATGTTAATTTTTTTTTTCATAATTCCAAATTTTCTGAAACAAATTGTGCAGCTTTATTTGAAAAATTTATCACGAACGAAAAATGTCGACCACTCAGAAAACTAGATCGACTGTTTTTCGAGATGTGTATAAAGAAAAACAACGTTATTTACGTGTGGGACGCACTCGATGAAATTTTAAATGAACATTTAGATGCCGTTCAAAATATAATTCTCGATCTCTCAACAAAAAACTCCCGTCAGTGGGTTACTAGCAGACGAAATTTAAAAACAACTCTAGAAAAAAAATTCAATTTGCTGTCACTTAGTATGAATCAATTTAGTCAACAAGAGCAACAAGATTATATTAGAAAACGTCTAAATAATTTTATTTCTTCAGACAAAATTGATATCACGCTTGAAAAAATCGAATCGTCTTTTGCCATTGTAGAACACATAGACATCTTAGGAATCCCATTGCAAATATTTATGCTCACCGAACTGTTCCGTGTAAATAGCGAAAAATATTTTAAACTAATGGAAAACACATTTCTCTTGACTGACTTGTACGACTATTCCATTGACGAAAAATTTAATAATTATTACAAACACAAAATTGGTTTCGATTTTGAAAATCCACATCTCGCAAGTAGAATTCGCCAAGAAAAACGAGAGATTTTAGATTTACATGAAAGTGTGTCTTTTATAGTAATATTTGACGAAAAAATTATGCAGCAATTAAATATTGACAACGAAAAATGCATAGAAAAACTTCAACAAAGTTATGCATCTCTGGGTCTTATAAATGACTTTCAAAATAATGTTCCCCGTTTTCTCCATATTTCTTTCGCAGAATATTTAATTGCTACATGTTTAACCAAAAATGTAAGTGAGTTTAAAGACATAATTACTGATACAATATTCCACGCAAAGTATGACAACGTTCGTTTCTTTTTTGACATGTTGATAGCTAAAAACTCAAAAGCTCATATTGCCGTGTTGTACAAAAATTACGAATTACTGAGAACATACGACGACAAAATATTAAAAGGCAAAGATGAAGGGGGTAGAAATGCTTTACATTTGATTTCGTCGTGGGGACGCAGACACCCCCGTGTAACACTGACGGTTGTAAATGAGGAGTATATTGTGCACGAAGCTAACAATTTCGTTGAAAAACCCGAAACCGAAGCATATTTTGAAACGATAACGTACTTGCAAGGAAAGAACGATGTTAGGGAACGTGACGTTTTGCTAGAAACGACGCCTTTGACTTACGCCATACGAAGTGAGAGTTTAGGAGCGGAACTGAAATTACTTCAAATAAAAATAAATGAATTGACTAAATTATGCTCTACCAAAGACCTAATAAATATACTATTTTATTGTGCTAAATTTGGCTACGAAGACGTGTGCAAATTCTTCACAGTGAGCGAGTTAAAAAACTTTTGGTGCAAAACGAAAGTTGTTACTGCTAAAGGAGCTAAAACGCTACTGTTGCTGGCCTGTCAAAACGGTAATTTAAACATCGTTAAAGATTTTGTAAGGTGTGATGCGACAGCACATTGCACGGCTTCCCCTACTCGTCATAAAAGCGTTGCCGAATACTTGTCGACAGTCGACACCGAAATCAATCGCGCTAATAATGACGGTGTGACACCACTTTTCGTAGCTTCCTTAAACGGCCACCAAACAGTTGTCGAACACTTGGTGACAATCGGCGCCGAAATCAATCGCGCTACGAATAACGGTCTGACATCGCTTCACATTGCTTCCGTCTTAGGTCACGAAAAAGTTGTCAAATACTTGGCGACAAAAGGCGCCGAAATCAATTGTGCTGTTTATAGTTGTACAGCACTTTATATGGCCTCCCAAAACGGTTACAAAGAAGTTGTCGAACACTTGGCGAGAGAAGGCGCCGACATCAATCGTGCTGATAATGATGGTAGGACACCACTTCACATTGCTTCCTCCGTCGGTCACGAAAAAGTTGTCGAATATTTGACGACAGTCGGCGCCGAAATCAATTGCGTGGATAAAGACGGTTGTACACCACTTCTAAGAGCTTCTGAAAAAGGCCACCGGAAAGTTGTCGAACACTTGGCGACAGCCGGCGCCGAAATCAACCATGCTGCAAATGATGATTGGACACCACTTCACGTTGCTTCCCAAAACAATCACCAAAAAGTTGTCGAATACTTGACGAGAGTCGGCGCCGAAATCAATCGCGCTAATAAAAACGGTGTGACACCACTTCACCTAGCCTCCTTGAACGGTCACGAAAAAGTTGTCGAACACTTGACAACAATCGGCTCCGAAATCAATCGCGCTGATAATGACGGCTCTACACCACTTCACGATGCTTCACAAAATGGTCACCAAATAGTTGTCGAATACTTGGCGACAGTCGGCGCCGAAATCAATCGCGTTAAAAATGACGGTTGGACATCACTTCACGTAGCTTCCTTCAACGGTCACCATAAAGTTGTCGAATACTTGGCGACAGTCGGTGCCGAAATCAATCGCGCTGCTAATGACAATGTGACACCACTTCACCTAGCTTCCTTCAACGGTCACGAAAAAGTTGTCGAATACTTGGTGACAAACAGCTGCGAAATCAATAGTACTGCTAATGACGGTTGGACACCTCTTCACGTTGCTTCCCAAAACGGTCACCAAAATGTTGTCGAATTTTTGACATCAGTCGGGGCCGAAATCAATCTTGCTAATAATGACGGCTCCACACCACTTTTCATAGCTTCTAAAAACGGTCACCAAAAAGTTGTCAAACACTTGGCGACAGTCGGGGCCGAAATCAATCGTGCTGATAATGTGGGTTGGACACCACTTCACATTGCTTCAGAAAAAGGTCACCAAAAAGTTGTCGAATGCTTGACAACAGTCGGCGCCGAAATCAATTGTGCTCTGAATGACGGCTGGACACCACTTCACATTGCTTCCCAAAACGGCCATGAAAAAGTTGTCGAATACTTGGCAACAGTCGGGGCCGAAATCAATCATGCTGTTAATGGTGGTCATACAGCACTTCACGTAGCTTCCAAAAATGGGCACGCAAAAGTTGTCGAATACGTGACGAAAGTCGGCGCCGAAATCAATCGCACTAATAAATACGGTGCGACATCACTTCACGCAGCTTCCGAAAGTGGTCACGAAAAAATTGTCGAATACTTGGCGACAATCGGTGCCGAAATCAATCGCGTTGATAATAATGGTTGGACACCACTTCACTTTGCTTGCCAAAACGGTCACCAAAATGTTGTCGAATACTTGAAATCAGTCGGTGCCGAAATCAATCGTGCTGCTAATGGCGGTTTCGGATTATATTACGTAGCCTCCAGCGCCAAAGAAGTTGTTGAATACATGACGAAAGTCGGCGCCGAAATCAATCGCGCAACGAATGACGGTGTGACATCACTTTACATGGCTTCCGAAACGGGTCACCAAAAAGTTGTCGAATACTTGACCACTGTCAGCGCCGAAATCAATCGCGCTAATCAAAACGGTGCGACACCACTTTACATAGCTTCCGAAACAGGTCACGAAAAAGTTGTCGAATACTTGACATCAGTCGGCGCCGAAATCAATCGTGCTTGTAGTAACGGTTTAACACCGCTTCACATTGCTTCCCAAAACGGTCATCAAAAAGTTGTCGAATGCTTGACGACAGTCGGCGCCGAAATCAATCGTGCTTGTAGTAACGGTTTAACACCGCTTTACATAGCTTCCGAAACAGGTCACGAAAAAGTTGTCGAATGCTTGACATCAGTCGGCGCCGAAATCAATCGTGCTTGTAGTAACGGTTTAACACCGCTTCACATTGCTTCCCAAAACGGTCATCAAAAAATTGTCGAATGCTTGACGAAAGTCGGCGCCGAAATCAATCGTGCTTGTAGTAAAGGTTTAACACCGCTTCACATTGCTTCCCAAAACGGTCATCAAAAAGTTGTCGAATGCTTGACGAAAGTCGGCGCCGAAATCAACCGTGCCGATATTGACGGTTGGACACCACTTCACATGGCTTCCCAAAACGGTCCCGAAAAAGTTGTGGAATACTTGACATCAGTCGGCGCCGAAATCAATCGTGCTTGTAGTAACGGTTTAACACCGCTTCACATTGCTTCCCAAAACGGTCATCAAAAAGTTGTCGAATGCTTGACGAGAGTCGGCGCCGAAATCAATCGCGCTACGAATAACGGTGTGACACCACTTCACGCAGCTTCCTTCAACGGTCACGAAAAAGTTGTCGAATACTTGACATCAGTCGGCGCCGAAATCAATCGTGCTTGTAGTAACGGTTTAACACCGCTTCACATTGCTTCCCAAAACGGTCATCAAAAAGTTGTCGAATGCTTGACGAGAGTCGGTGTCGAAATCAATCGCGCTACGAATAACGGTGTGACACCACTTTACATAGCTTCCGAAACAGGTCACGAAAAAGTTGTCGAATACTTGACATCAGTCGGCGCCGAAATCAATCGTGCTTATAGTAACGGTTTAACACCGCTTCACATTGCTTCCCAAAACGGTCATCAAAAAATTGTCGAATGCTTGACGAAAGTCGGCGCCGAAATCAATCGTGCTTGTAGTAAAGGTTTAACACCGCTTCACATTGCTTCCCAAAACGGTCATCAAAAAGTTGTCGAATGCTTGACGAAAGTCGGCGCCGAAATCAACCGTGCCGATATTGACGGTTGGACACCACTTCACATGGCTTCCCAAAACGGTCCCGAAAAAGTTGTCGAATACTTGACATCAGTCGGCGCCGAAATCAATCGTGCTTGTAGTAACGGTTTAACACCGCTTCACATTGCTTCCCAAAACGGTCATCAAAAAGTTGTCGAATGCTTGACGAGAGTCGGTGTCGAAATCAATCGCGCTACGAATAACGGTGTGACACCACTTTACATAGCTTCCGAAACAGGTCACGAAAAAGTTGTCGAATACTTGACATCAGTCGGCGCCGAAATCAATCGTGCTTATAGTAACGGTTTAACACCGCTTCACATTGCTTCCCAAAACGGTCATCAAAAAATTGTCGAATGCTTGACGAAAGTCGGCGCCGAAATCAATCGTGCTTGTAGTAAAGGTTTAACACCGCTTCACATTGCTTCCCAAAACGGTCATCAAAAAGTTGTCGAATGCTTGACGAAAGTCGGCGCCGAAATCAACCGTGCCGATATTGACGGTTGGACACCACTTCACATGGCTTCCCAAAACGGTCCCGAAAAAGTTGTCGAATACTTGACATCAGTCGGCGCCGAAATCAATCGTGCTTGTAGTAACGGTTTAACACCGCTTCACATTGCTTCCCAAAACGGTCATCAAAAAGTTGTCGAATGCTTGACGAGAGTCGGTGTCGAAATCAATCGCGCTACGAATAACGGTGTGACACCACTTTACATAGCTTCCGAAACAGGTCACGAAAAAGTTGTCGAATACTTGACATCAGTCGGCGCCGAAATCAATCGTGCTTATAGTAACGGTTTAACACCGCTTCACATTGCTTCCCAAAACGGTCATCAAAAAATTGTCGAATGCTTGACGAAAGTCGGCGCCGAAATCAATCGTGCTTGTAGTAAAGGTTTAACACCGCTTCACATTGCTTCCCAAAACGGTCATCAAAAAGTTGTCGAATGCTTGACGAAAGTCGGCGCCGAAATCAACCGTGCCGATATTGACGGTTGGACACCACTTCACATGGCTTCCCAAAACGGTCCCGAAAAAGTTGTCGAATACTTGACATCAGTCGGCGCCGAAATCAATCGTGCTTGTAGTAACGGTTTAACACCGCTTCACATTGCTTCCCAAAACGGTCATCAAAAAGTTGTCGAATGCTTGACGAGAGTCGGCGCCGAAATCAATCGCGTTACGAATGACGGTGCGACACCACTTTACATAGCTTCCGAAACAGGTCACGAAAAAGTTGTCGAATACTTGACAGAAGTCGGTGCCGAAATCAATAGCGCTACGATTCACAGTGTGACACCACTTTACGTAGCTTCCTTCAAGGGTCACGAAAAAGTAGTAGAAAACTTGACAAAAGTCGACGCCAAAATCAATCATGCTGATAGTGACGGTTTCACACCACTTTACGTAGCCTCCCTAAACGGCCACGAAAAAGTTGTCGAATACTTGGCGACAGTCGGCGCCGAAATCAATCGCGCTACGAATGACGGTGCAACACCACTTTACGTAGCTTCTTCCAATGGCCATGAAAAAATTGTCGAATACTTGGCAACAGCCGGCGCCGAAATCAATCTCGCTATGAATGACGTTGCAACACCACTTTACGTAGCTTCCTTCAATGGTCACGAAAAAATTGTCGAATATTTGAAGACAGTCGGCGCCGACATCAATCGTGTTACTCATGGCGGTTTCACACCACTTTACGCAGCCTCCCTTAAAGGCCACGAAAAAATTGTCGAATACTTGACGACAGTCGGCGCCGACATCAATCGTGTTGCTAATGGCGGTTTCACACCACTTTACGTAGCCTCCCTAACAGGCCAGGAAAAAATTGTCGAAAAGTTGACGACAGTCGGCGCCGAAATCAATCGCGCTACCGATAACGGTGTGACACCACTTCACGTAGCTTCCTTCAACGGTCACGAAAAAGTTGTCGAATACTTGGTGACAGTCGGTGCTGACATCAATCGCGCTGATGATAATGGTCAGACATCTCTTCACATAGCTTCCCAAAAAGCGCACCAAGGAATTGTAGAATTGTTAACAAAAGCCGGCGCCCAAACCAATTAACTTCCGTTTTGAAAGGAATGTAGTACGCAATATTTTATGATTGATATTTAAAAATTTCGCTCCATAATAAGTGAGTCATTTCCGTTTTTACATCGAGAAGATTTTGAGAAGAAAATTTGTTATCTTTCTCACATACACTTACGAATTTCTTGAAGTTATTATCGTAGGTCTGAAAACAATTAAGGGTCTTGTCGTTTATTTTTGAAAACAGAAACTCGTGTAATGAAAATTTTAGCACCCTCAATCCGTAAATCGTATTCAGTATTTTGCTCCTCGTTAACTTATAATATCGTGAAAGCTTAGGTTAATAAGTTGACTACTACAGCAACTGATATAAACGTGTTCAAATACTTACCACCCTTTTAAAAACTGTATCTCAGTATAAACTTACAATACAACACTCCAGTATTAATTTCGAAAACAGATTTTGTCATATATTTATTACCTACAAGCACAGTCTAATGAAACTGTAATTCAGAAACTGTCAAAAATTTTACTTGTCAAAACGGTGTGGAATAAGTCATCTTAAAAAAAAATGAAACTGAAATAGCAGTCTGCGAAAAATCTAATCGAAAAGACCACAAAACCCAAAAAAGTGCAATCCCATTCTAATTTCACAATCTATAATTACATTATTTCAAAATTCTTCTACATCACTATATCACGTTTGATTTGTTCTTTGCTGATAAGTTAAATTCAAACTTATTTTAGTTTTTATTTAAAAAAAAAAGTGGGAAAAGTTATCAATGTCACACATTTGCAACAACAAATTAAATAAGATTTTATGAAAAGTAATCAGGATTGTGTTTTCTCTTTCACTAAATAAACCAAAAGCGATGTATGGTACCGTTTAGTATTTCTTAAAAAATGGCTCAATCGATTTGTAACAAAACTGAGACGAAGAAAATAACAAGTAAGAAATCAGTTTTATGTTGTGAAAACAAAAATTAAAAGAAATGTTGCAGACACATGCCTTCAAGAACATCTTAAATCGTTAGTAGGAAAGGCATCCACGTACAAAGTGCTATTATAAAATGCATCACAAATAGAGCGAAATAAAGAAGGTAAGAAAAAAAATCAAAATTTCTTGATATTTAATACTATAGTTTTAGCATATATGAAATTTGCATTTATTAATAGGAATTGGTGAAATCGTTTTAAATATCAAGAGGGTAATACCTGAATCATTACTTTTTGAGTCAGTTTATTATGCTGTTGTCTTCCTGCGAAGTAAGTAAAGTTAAAAATTGCTTTTGTGTAATATTGTTGCATTTTTTTTGTGCCCACATTTTTTTAAATAGTAATAAATATTTTGGCGTAATTACACTATTTTTTTTTTTTTTTAGTTACAAACCAACTACCGGAAACTGACCAAGTACATAATGTAGCAATCAATATACTATCTTTAAGCTTTTTTTTTTTGTCCTAAATTATTATTAGTTGATTATATTCAAAGTAACGTAAGCCTTCTTTTGTATTCTATAAAATCTATGAAACAATCTTATGACCATTTTTTATTTTTAAAATCGAGAAATAAATTACGCAGAACTACTTATGAAATATTCTAAGAACCATTGCCTCGCCGAATTTTGGACTGTTATTTTTTCTGAAGAAGAATTGGAATGGATTACCGAGATAACTAACCATCTTTCTTCAGAATTCATTATTGGTCTTCGTGAACCATGAAGATTAGGAATTTTTGAAGAAATTATCACAGGTATAGTCGTCGGCAAATGGATAAAACCACTTGTTAAAACGTCAGGTTGGTATTATTGCCATGGTAATTTTAAGCCCCTCGGATTGGCAGCGCTTTGACGTTTGTAACCGACAATAACGTCAAACGACTCGTAAACGACTCAAACAACTTCGAACTAGCGCAGCGTGCTTCAAATTCAAAAAGAGAGCGTTTCAATTTGAAAATAATTATTATGAAGCCAAGAACGCGAACTTTGTTCAAAAAACAAATAAAAGCTGCTATTGTAAAATGTTACGAAGAGTTTCAACGGGCATATCCTTCGTCTTCCCAGCGTGAACACGAGTTACGACTAGCGAATATTTTTTCAGTACGAAATCTTGGTAGTAACTATAACATTTCCAACGTTACTTGTCCACCACACAGTTCACGTTGTCCATTTTTCACACCAACCAGTGACTCAGTAACATCCTTTTATCCTATCATTAACCAGCTCATTTTCCTGCAGTGTTCAAGAAGTCAAATAAGAACGCTTTTACTCCAACACAAATCCGGACAACTTCCCGAAGATCCTAGACCTTCCCCACGAAAGAAGTCAAAATGGTTTACGGATTTTGAATTCAAAGAAGACCTAAACTTTCACATATTTGAAAAAAATCGTCAGAATGAGTTTTTTACAATTCAGGATTTATTTACTTTTGCCACAGAAAATCTTAATTACAACGCAAGTATCCGGACTCTACGAAGGGTTATTAAATCCATGGGTTACAATTTTAAAAAAGTTGAAAACAGGAAAATTATAATTGAGTCGCCCCGCTTACAGGGATTAAAAATTAAATTTTTAAGGCGTTACATACAGTTAATGGAAGAAGATGTGACATTTGTTTATTTAGACGAGACGTGGGTGTATCAGCATGGTGTACCAGTAAGAAGATGGGTGCATGAGAGTGATCGGAGAGGCATGCCTGCGAAAATAGTAATGAATGAGGGTAGAAGGTTTACCATACTTCATGCAGGGGGTAAATTTGGTTTTTTGGAAAACTGCTTGCTATTTTTAGATAGCAATAATGATAGCAGGGACTATCATAAGACTATGAACGGGCAATTGTTCAGGCAATGGGTGGAAACACAGTTAATTCCATCTGTTAATTTTATTAACGGTAAGGTTGTTATCATCATGGACAATGCACCTTATCATTCGGTGTTAGCAGAACAATTGCCTCGTTTGTCTTGGATTAAATCAAAATTAAAATTTTGGCTTGCACAAAAAAAAATTCCTTTTGGCGATAATTTGACAAAAAAACAGCTTTGGGATATTATCAAACCTCTTTTACCATCAACTCGTAAATATGAGATTGATGAGTTGTTGTCAAAGAGTAATATTGAAGTTTTACGTTTACCTCCATATCACTGCCACTATAATGCTATAGAAATGGTATGGGGATTCTGTAAACCATATTATAACAAACACATCTTGAAGCAGTCTTCCAAAAAATCAGAAATCAAGCACTTGTGGATTGAAGCTATGTCTAAATATAAACCAGAGATGTGGACATCAAGTGTAATCCACTGTGAAAATATTATCAAGGATGACTGGCAAAGAATGATGGGTAATACCAGTGTTAAAGATATTCCTCCTGTCATAATATCACTTGGAGAATCTGATAGTGAATCTGATTTAAGTTCAGATGAATCAGACAGTATAAGTGATATTATGCAGGATGGTGTATTAGCCAACAGAACATTAAATGTAAGTATGGATCCTGAAACCAGTATGAATGAAACACAAGGCAATATTGGAGAAGGCCAGCAGCTTTGTGTAGATGATGTTGAGATGTGTGAATGGATGAATGCAGAGAATGATATAGAAACAATTATTGTAGAGGTAATAGATGATTAATTTACCTTGCTAAGTAAATAAATGTCACACCTTTTAACAATTATTGTATTAATGAGTTAGTTAGTTGTTCCTGTTTTATTCCATTGTTAAAGTTTTTGACAATACACTGATTTGTAACAGTTGAGACTACTGTTTATGTTCCTATAAATTATGTTCATTGAGAATTGTCTTTCTATCACATTTAGAACATTTCATTTTATTTAATTCCCTCCTGTGATTCAACCTTAGTGAATTGATCTGCTTCTTTACATTACTTCCTTTTGCTTCACGCTTTATCTCTTTAAATACTTCATGTAGTTTCTTATAAATTATAACCTACAATTTTCTCATATTTATTTGTATACAGTGGGCTCAAAATACTCAACAGTTCTGGTAACATTTCATTAAAATGTGTAAATCTTCTAATGACGCATTATTAGTACAAGCACCAGAGTTCTGTGATTCAGAAGAACCAAGCCATAAGTCAGTATCGTCCATGGCAGCATAAATAAGACTGATGGAAATATTAATACCAACTGCCAGCCATGTGGTCATTCTTCGTACACCATCCTTGTACATAGATAGGTAAAAATACAAATAAAAGTTCCAATTTTCACTATACCTTTGAGTCGTACTTGCCCATTTTATTGATGTCCACCTTTTGTTAACGAGATGGTAAACTGTTGACTGCTTATACCATCAATTGTGGCAGTGCAGATTTATACTGCACTTTCGATTCCACAGTTTGATAATGTCGGTGTATGTGCCCTGAAAATGCGTACCCTAAGCTCTAACCCACATAAAAGAGCCCCTTAATTAATAAGCCGTCGCCTTGTAAGCACAGAACCTTGTAAGACGGCGATCAAACAAATGTCAAAAAAAAGTAACTAATGTCATTAATCGTCGGCCATTTTCTCTCTAAAAAGGTACGGAAAGCCGTTTACACCAGCGAAATTTTGAAAACTTACACTAGGGAGTGGTTAAATCGAAATGCCGACGACTGTATATATAAATTTACAGATATATAGAATACTAGCTGTTACCCGCAGCTCTGCTTGCGTGGATTTCGCAATTAGGACACATTATTTTTCATCTCCTTAAATATTTGTTGATTTCAATTTATATTATTTTTTAAGTTTGTAGAGTCTTCATTAATAATAATAACAATATATGTATAAAAGTTTTTGTCCTGTCCGGCTGACTGATTCATCAACATAACTACTGGAGCTATAAACATGAAATTTGGACAAAAGGTTTCTTTCGTAATGTGAAACAAAACTATTCTAACAAAAATATAATATAATAGTAACTATACTTAATACATATATTCTATTTATTTCAACCCAATTACGGAAATAAAAAATTATAACAAAGAACAAAATTAATTTGTTACTAACAAAGTACTTCTTTGTATACCACATTCGTCGTAAGCTTTCCATGTGCTAGAATTACCAGACGACTCGCGGCACTCACTCTGGAACAGGCCACATAGAACTGTCCATGAGAAAAACAGTCTTCCGTCAGGTCTATTCCGGCCATTTTCAATGTTTGACCTTGTGCTTTATTGATAGTTATTGCGAAGCAGACTTTCAGGGGGAACTGCAACCTTTTGAATTCAAATGGGTATTCTGACGGTATTAAAGGTATTCGTGGTATGAACACCTTTCCCCCTTGAGCACATCCCGTGATTATCGTGGCCTCTACAACATTCCGGTGGAGAGCCGTTATTTGCAATCTGGTGCCATTGCATAACTTTGGAAGGTTCAGGTTCCTTAATAGCATAACTGGTGCGCCAATCTTAAGTGTGAAATTATGAGGGGGAAGACCAGCTGGGTTAAGCGTATTTAAAAACTCGACTGGATAATTTATAGCATCATCAGTTTGTACTACCGAATCCACGGATTTATATTGAATTTCTTCTCCTTCAAATGATTTTAACAAAAGATCGTTAATACCAGCCGCTCTCTCATTTTTGGGAGTCAAAATAGCACGTTCGCATAACCAGTCTATGGGTTTTGCCTTGAGATTGATGATGTCGGGGTAAATTTTGTTGGTTAGTTCTGTAAGAGATTCTACTACCGTAGCCAGAGTTGGTGGTATAATAATCTTACCATCAACTGTAGGGTAATTTCCATCTCCTATTTGAAGCACAGTCTGTGCAAACTTAGCAACGGTAGCATCACCTCCTAAAAGTACTCTCATATTTGTCTTTAAGGCGAGCTTCTTAATTTGGGGCCACAAATACGATGATTTTAAACATGACCTCACTTCATCGGCTCGTGTTCCCCTTGGTACGACGGGTAAGGTTTGTCGAAAGTCTCCAGCTAAGAGAACCATAACGCCGCCTACAAACTACCATTTTCTCTTATATCTCGCAGAGTTTTACTGAGAGCTTCTACGCCTCCTTTATGGGCCATAGTGCATTCATCCCATACTACTTATAAGTTTTGTTTCTTTCAAGACTTGCGCCATATTGCTCTGCTTTGAAATGTTGCACAGAGGTGTCTCTACACGCATTAGATTTAAGGGTAATTTAAAAGCAGAATGCGCTGTTTTACCGCCATCCAGCAACGTGGCTGCTATGCCAGAAGAAGCAACTGCCAAGGCTATCCCGCCATTTTTTCGTACTCTAGCCAATAATAATTTTAAAAGAAACGTTTTACCCGTGCCTCCAGGAGCATCCAAAAAGAATACTTGACCAGTGCCATTCTCGATACTATCTAAAACTTGGTTGTAAATTTGATATTGTTCTGTATTTAATAAACTTTCGTTGTTGGATACTACTTGAGCCAATAAAAGTGTGTCATAGCTAATCTCTCTGAGATAGTCTCTGTTTTGTATGACTTCTTCACGTCTTACAGGCTGAGGCAAACCATAATACTCTAAACATTGTCCTCCTAAAGATAAAACCGTATCTTCAATGGAAATCAGACACTTGTTGTACACTTCATTCATAATCTGAACACTGTCTTGACACTCTGACTGCACTTGACGTTTTATGTCCTCCGACAGACTGTTTTTATATTTCTCCCATATACTTAAAGCGTCTGTTACTTTGCAAAATATCAACAAAATTGAGAACAGGTCTCGTAGCTTAAAAGGAGAATCAGTAAGAGCAGCTTCTTCCATTGTAGCATTCCACTGCTTGTCATCTTCTAGCAAACCCAAGGATTTACATGATGACTGGTATGTGGGATAAACGACACCATCAATAGTTTTTAAATCCGAGAATGATGTTGGCCCTCTCACTTGATGAAGAAGAAGAGGAAAGTAGTAACATTCGGCGTTATTAGGGTGGACGGTGTACACTCTGCCCAAAGCTTGATCTTTTTTGACTCCCGGCCAACTATCAACATTGTTTCCACGTTTTCGTCTCTCAAATTTAGTACTTTTCCACACATAGTATGAAGGGACTTCAACATAGAGAAGGGTTTTTGCAAAATTATCCGTTTTGCAAAGATCAAAAAATGCTAGAAGAGTAGTTTTCTGTGGATTATTTACCTTTTCAGTCACATTATTGAAGTCGTTAGGATTAAAATAGACACGCTGGCCATTTTCCAAGTGCACTGCGAGATGAAAAACAGCTGGAAATCTTTCATGTATAGGAAAGGCCAGAATTCTCCAAACAGCTTCAGAGCTGCTAATATATCGACCACTTTCATATAATTTGACCTCATCATTGTCATTTTCAAGACCAAATGAGGCTTGGTCGGATCCTTTATTGACGTATTTGCATATATATTTAATAGATTTTACAGAGTTACAATACTCGATGTTGATGTGAGCAGCAAAAGTTCGAGACAAAACTGGATTATACAGTACCACCCATCTATTATCTAGGGTTACACCATGGATTTCAACCGTGAATCCACCATCCGCGGGACCTCTTCGCCGATATTTAGGGTAGCCGTCGTCGCCTGTTTGGGTTTCTTTCAGGAGAATTCGAGGATATTTTTTGCTACAGCAACCTCCTTTCATACACGGGAATTTCCTCAAATTTCCGCAGGGCCCATGGATCATATTGGTTTTGATAATTTTATAAAGGATAGGATCCTTTTGAGGATCCGGTATCTCCGCACAGATAACATTATCTATATTAACCGCAGAAATTCGCTGCTCCAACCACAACAAAATGTGGATGTGTGGAAGACCTCGCTTCTGCCATTCAACGGAATACATAAAGCAACGCACTTTTCCAAACAAACAAATTTCCTTTTGTTAGCAGTGACATAATTGCTTTAACTTTTAAATGAAATACCCGTGCTATAATGTCATGACGATCGTGTGGCTTTTGACCATGCAGCAATGCATCTGCAATATCTTTCCATTGAGGATTGCATGTAAATGTGATGAAAAGGTCAGGGCGACCGTAATGGCGTACGTAGGTCATTGCATCTTGAGTTCTTTCATGCATATATCGAGGTGATCCAGTAAACGATGAAGGGAGTACCACCCTATTACCAAGTTGAGTAATATCGGTGTCCTGCCTTCCTATCGCATCTTTCAAATGTACATAAATGTACATCTGCTCTGAGGTATGCTTGGTTGTACCTGATATAATTCAATCTTTCCGTTTCTATTTTCGCATACGTATCAACTAAATATTGACTAAAAAGGGTACGATATTATAACAATCGATTTTCGTCTTCTTCTCTGACCATGATGCGATATGAATAAAAATTTAGCGCCGATATGGTTTTTTGAAGAGATGTTTTTGTTTTAGGATCATATTGCGGTACGTCAATAGAGTAACCATCCTCACCATAACAAAATAAGAGTGGGTATTGCAGGGCGTCATACGAGCGGTGTAACTCGCTGATCCGATGCAATTTGTTATCGTGATTTTGTAAAACGATATCTCGCTTGTCGAACTGCTGTCCGACTATGACCAGAGCAACTTCACTCGTTGTCTGTGCATTATAACGGCCTGTGTGAGCATTGGCTGGTTTTCTATCAGCGTGAATAACGACTTCAAATTTTTCACAATCTTCGGGTACGTTTTGAAGAGTTGTTTTCAGGTCCCTTATATATGAATTTTTCTCGTGCAACATCGCTTGCAGTTGTTTGACCAGATTTGGTTTCACACCAGAGAAATTGCTGCATCTCAAATTTACCTCTCTCTCGTCTTCACCAATGAAGTAAATTTGAAGAAATTGAGGTTCTTGTTGGAGCAAGGGTAATAAGCTACCAACCAAATGATAAACCTGTCCCTGTACTTTAAACGTGGGCATAAAACCATCTTCCATTATTTTCTTAGCTCCAAAGGACGTCATCTGAAAGCAACTGTTATACTTTCTAATACCATCCATAAAATGAACCTGCTCTGGATGAAGACCCATAATCAAGCTGTGAAGAGGCTCTGGCAAGGGTTTAAATGTTGGAAGTTGCCCTTTACCACCGGCGCAACACATGCCAGGAGCTTCTTCTTTCCACTTATAAGCAAGACAATGTATGCATTTGTGATTCATAGCACCTAGGGCAACAGTTTTATCAGTTTCATAAGCTAATTCAAGATCATACATCATTCCAGACAAAGCTTTAACTTTCCACGGAAGCAATCGCCTTTCTGATCGATTTCCGGGATTATTCCTTTCATGCCTAAAAACACTTGCTCTATGAACATCTGGATTATTTTGCTGGTAAGTCATCACTGCAGCGCGGTGAGCCTCTGGATTTTTCCGTTGATAAACCATGACAGCCTTACGATGAACATCCGGATTACGTTGCATGTACTTGATAGCGGCATCTTTGAGCTGTTTTTTTCTAGTTGCGTCGGTAAATCTAGCCCGGTGGTGCTTCTTTTTTTCAGTATCATTTTGAGAAATGAAACTTGGAATTAATTGATCCTCAGAAGATTGATAAACGTCGAAATGCCCATTAGAAAGATCGTGCGAAGTACTAAAACGCAATTTACATACGGGATTTTCTTCTATGCCGAATTTTTCATACAACTCTCCGTTATAATAAACCTCAAATACATATGGAAATATTTGTCCAGAAGCCACTAATTCGCACAAACCGCCATAAGTATAGGACTGTGACATTTCGGCAAGGTAGTCAGCAGCACTGTTAAAATTATTTCCATCTCTGTCGTGGGATAGGATGGAAAACTCATCCCAACGCTCTACTACGTGTGTTACTATTAGGATCTCCCGCACCTCCCGAGCCATAACTTCAGTACCATATAACAGGTATGATATTGCTCGGAATAAGCAAGCTCCATCGCCAATAATCGGTACGACAGTATGTGGTACCATTGCACCGTATATGTTTAAGATTTCTACAACCATATCGGAAATATTTTGACAATTCGTGACATAAAACACAACCGTCAACGCCGTTTGGCCTCACGCGTCCGACCGCAGACCGCGTTCGCATCGCAGTCGCTTACTCGGTGACGTCGCGGCCTCTCTATTTCCATACAACTTCTTAAATTTTAAAGGCTTAAGACTGATTTTTCCAATAACCCTACCACGTACAACTGAAATACGCTTTACATTATTTGTGTTGAACAGCATTATATCAAGTTCCACGCAAAAATTTACAATAGAAATATTTTTCCCATACACAATTAGACACCGCTTTTTACCCCCTTAGGGGTTGAATCTCGGAAAATGCTGAAATACGTGTTTCGTTATCTGTATTGAAGAGCATTAATACCAAGTTTCACGTAAATATTTACAACAGAAATGGTTAGGGAATAGTCTTCCTGTACAAACTTTACCACCGCTTTTCACCCTTTTAGGGGTGGAATTTCCCAAGTTCCTTTCTTAGTGGGTGTTTACATTACAAAAGTAAACTATTGTCCAAATTTCATGAAGGAATCGAAAATTCAAAGCGCGCCATCAACCCATGCCAGCAGCAGTGTTGGGGATAGATACTTTTAAAAATATCTAGATACAGATATAGATACATGGAAGATAAAAGTATCTAGATACAGATTGTTTTCGATTTTTTCGAAATGTATCTAGATATAGATACAAGAAAACAGATACTTTTTGAAGCTTTGGCGAATAAAATAACTGAAAACATGTTTATGTATTTTTTTATGTATTGTTTAATAAATTTTTTAAAATTAAGAACATTTCGAACGTATTGTCACCTAAATTATTTCTTCTTGGTGTCAGAATTTGGTTTCCGCTACTAAACACCCGTTCCACAGATGCAGAAAAAGGGATTGTGGTATTAGATTTAAAAAATAAACATTTTACTGCAGCATAGTTATTCAAGACTGAAAAATCTTTTCTTTTTTCCTGCAAATAGGCCATCGCTTCGCTGTTTGATGTGTCGCAAATTGTGCAATATTTATTACGTAGGGTTAAAAAGAATATTTTTTTTGTTTTTATTCCTATACTACAGTGTCCAAATTGTGTTTGAGTATATCTAATAATTATATCCAGCATTAAAATTAATATTTCAAAAGAATACGGGAAATGATTATTCTGTGCTGAAGGTTTGTTGTCGGCAACCTGTCATAAATTATTCTTCAATATCGACTTACCATGTTTTTATGTCCGGTAATCGTCTATCCCGGTGCGGCAGGTATATACATTTTAGGAAGAATTGCTGGTTCCGTTTAAGGCAAAATAAGTACAATTTCTTAGAAAGGTATTTAAACCCGGTACAGGATCAAAGGCTGCCTGGCAGGCCGGAATCACCAGAGTGCAACTTTAAATTTTCAGATTTTTGTTGAAACTCATTTTATTTTAATCTCGTTTCACGATTTCTGATAATATATCACGATAAATTATTCTACCGAGGGTTGTAAAAATATTAATTTTATTGCCCAAGATTTACACTTTAACATAATCGGCACATTCTAGGGCAAAACGGACCTGCCAAGCCCGCCTCGCGTTAGGTCCAACAATGAAAAAGTGAAGAAATGACACATGTTGCAACAGGAAAAGATACTACATTTGTCTAAAAAATAAAGGTATAAAACAGTAACAAATACTCGTATGTGATTTATGCGAGAGAAATGTATGTATTGAACATTCTAATTTGTGCTAATTGAAAAAATTAATCATTATGTAACACGCAATTATTATTTTCTAAAAATAATAACATACCTTAAACAAATATTTTTACTATTAAAATTACTTTTATTTAATAACACAAATACAACCAACGGGCCTACCGGACCCGTGTTGCTCAGGTACACAGATAAAATGCATTGCCCCGGATAAGCGTAAAACGCAGTGAATAGTGAATTGTGGTTTATGGTTTTTAAAATACCATCTTACCATGGCTTAGATTTATAACCCTTCAGGATTATATTTAAAGATGTATAAATACTGAAGGCTACAATGATGGTATTTAAAATATGAAAATTTCCGTGACAGAACACTATTAGTGGACCTCTTACCTCTATTTTTGTTTATGTGACCAAAATGACCAACATGAAGTATCAAAAATTACTACTAGTATAACTCAACTAATAACTACTGAAAAAAAAGTTAAATAAAAAAAGTATCTGTATCTGTGCCATTAATTTTGTATCTAGATACAGATACTAGATACTGCCCAACACTGGCCAGCAGTGAATCAAATATCTTAAAAAAAAAGTGTTGTATGAAGTGATTTATTATTTATATTCCAGAAATCCGTTCTCTTTGATAATAGTAACAATAATAACAAAAATAAAAACCAAAAACAGTCAAACAACGAGCAAACGGAAACAGTAGGCACCAAAAGCATGCAACCGAAATGAATTCCCAACTAGAAATTTTCAACTAAAATTATAAAAAATCTCATAAATATGAAACGTGACACCATTACTGTGTATGTGTTCCAAATCAATAAATTAGCCCATGCGATAAATTTCCCCCCATTTCAAATTCCTTCCGTGCCCTCCATCATCAGAATTCAGCACTCCACCTAATTGTTTACAACCTGTAAACCCCAAACTGACAACACCTAATAATAGCCCGTAATGAGCCCCAGATCCGGGATCTAGGCTTGTGCCACTTTCGGCGTCCTACTTCCATCGGATTGTTTACCAAAAGTGGCGAAAGCACATAAATCAAGCCCGAGGGGTGTCTGTCCGGCCGGCAGTCTTCGTCGAGCCATTTCTGGCGCAATAAATTGCCAAATCAGTTTTATAACCCCGAAAACAAACATAAAAATAACGGAATTGTTGTCGTTGTAATTGAATTTATCGACTCGCCCGCTGAAACAAC